TCTCATATATAAATTATTTCTGAGTGTAATCATTTAACCGCGCTTGAATGACCTTCAAATGAATATGTCTCCCAGAAATTACAATTATTTATATAATTTTTCATTATCTCATATATAAATTATTTCTGAGTGTAATCATTTAACCGCGCTTGAATGACCTTCAAATGAATATGTCTCCCAGAAATTACAATTATTTATATAATTTTTCATTATCTCATATATAAATTATTTCTGAGTGTAATCATTTAACCGCGCTTGAATGACCTTCAAATGAATATGTCTCCCANTGCAGCTCTGCTGGTGTAGAGCATTGCTCTGCAGCTCTGCTGGTGTAGAGCATTGCTCTGCAGCTCTGCTGGTGTGCAGCATTGCTCTGCAGCTCTGCTGGTGTAGAGCATTGCTCTGCAGCTCTGCTGGTGTGCAGCATTGCTCTGCAGCTCTGCTGGTGTGCAGCATTGCTCTGCAGCTCTGCGGTCACAAGTTCTCCCACATCCCATCACTGGCACACTCAATCATAACATTTCATATTCTTCGTTCCTCAATATAATACCAATAAATAATTTTAGGGCACTGCCATGAGAACAATTGCTGATAATTCAACTGATTTAGCTTGATTTGTTAATTTTTTATCCCAATAATGTATTCAAAAGTAGACTGAATTTTATGTCGTGTCATACACCGACATCTATAAGTCATAGTTTTGAATATTTTTAAGCACTGATGATGTGTAAATACAACAAATTTAGCCCGACAATAATCATTTAGTAGTGTTGTCAAAAGTCTCCGGCGAATATTTTAGAATTGAGTTATTTTATTTATTTTACTATTTGGTTATTCCATTTATTCATTTTAATATTTCTTACTATTTTATTTTTATTAATATACGTACTTTCCTAATACTTTTAATTTATTTTGTGCAATCAACGTAAACCGCAGATTAAATTCAATTCACAAAACCACAATTTTTAATTTTTTAATAATTTATTCGTATATTTCTCATCCAATGGCACGATCTAGGAATATTTTCGGTAAAGTCACCTTACTTGATTAAAATGTATTCGAAAATATATATTTCCAGATAATCAAGGCATTTTCACGAACTCTATAAGATATACAAACATGTTACTAGAAAATAATATACTTCTAATACAACATTTCGAAAAGGCAATTTTATTTGTTCCTCTGAAATTTTGTATCGGGATAAAGTTGTACCGAGTCGGAAGCCCGCATAATATTTACATTGCTTTCTGTAATTCCAAGCAAGGAAACAAAGTCATGATTTATATCCCTGCAATGCTGCGTTTTTTATAGCTTCGTTCTTATGTTCGTATAGCTCTGTGACTTGTTCTCTTTTGTTTTGTGGTGCTTCATCAGGCTAAGAAAGTCAACGAGAAAAAAGTGGCATCATTTGTTTGTCTCAAATACAATGCACTCCTGTGTATATACAATACACTCCGATTTTCTATAATATAAGTCGCAAATTATTCAAGAATATTACACTCTTATGTATATACAATACACTCATATTTTCTATAATATAAGTCGCAAATCATTCAAGAACATAAAAGCGAAAAAACGCTATGTCATCCTCAAAACTGTTTTGGGGGTCAGCTCCATCATCAGTTAGAAAACATATTGAGTTTTTGGCTAATATTCAAGGGAAGCTATCTATATTTTCACAGCGAATTAAACAAATAAAAATAAATGCACTGAGCCTCCAAACTTATGCTCACTGAAAGTAATGCTAACAGTAATATAAACAGAAAATTAGTTTCTGAACAGTTAAAATCACGAAAAAACATAATATTATCAATATATGTGGTTGTTAATTTTAAAAAATCTCTCATAAGGTGTCGCTCAGGGCTGCGGTAAGCAGCCCTGAGCTTATAACAGTAGATAAACTATACAAATTTATACAAATAAACAGTATAAATTTGTATAATTTATCTAAATGTGTATAAATAAATTTTATTTATATGTACAATTTATGTTTATTTGTATAAATGAATGTATACAAATAAACAATAGAAAATTTTAAAATTATTCAAGTTTCTACAAATTTATGTTTATTTGTATAAATAAATTTATCCAAATAATTAGTAGAAAATTTTAAAAATATTCATGTTTCATCATGCAATCTCTCCTAAGGTGTCGCTCTGGGGCCATACTTTCAAAACTCGCTAAGTGAACGTAAGTACTCACGCTCTATTTTCTTGTCTATGATTGGTGGATTTTGCTTGAAATACCATCAATGATTGGCTGATGAACTTACGATCTCTTAACTTTTTTTGAAAGTATAGGCCCAGGGCTGCAAAGCTGTTCAAACTCTCGTCACGGTGGCCGGGCTGGTGTTGGATGACGGGCAAAATTCTCGCAGACTGCAAGCCTCCAAGTTATAATTGAGCACGAGATACTCGGGAAACTATGCACTAACCATGACGAAAAGACTTGAAAGATTACTTTCTGAAAGTCTTATCGTTCAGTTAAACCTGATGTTTCTGCTAGGAAGTGTAAGAGACCAAGTTGGGTGCGTATAATTGCTGGTTTCAGTCTTAGGATATTTCCATGTTAGGAAACAGTCACATATTCCGGCGACTTAAAGTGCATTTTCAGCCTTATTTATGCAATTCTTACTGAGGCGATTATTGAAATTATTTATTACTCAATGCAATTATTGGAATGACATTGAGGTGATTCATTCAGGGGTTTTTATTCGCGTAAGAGTAAAAATAATATAAATTGATTTGATATTCATTCCAATGACGGCTTATTTCACTCAAAGTAATCGTATTATAGGGCAATTTAATTCTACTTTGATATAATAAATACGAAGTTAATATTTATTAAAATTATACCACAAAAAAATAGTAGACCATGTCGTGCATCTCTGGCCTCTATGTGTGAAATGCGTGAGCTTCAAGGTTATCATGTATATTTTATCTTAAAATTAAATCATACAGTAATGTGTTATTAAATTTTCTTGGAATATTGATTTTTAAATTAATAAAAAATCGTACTCTGATTCCAAGGGCTTTCAAAGCAGAGGAAAAAAAAGTTCCAAGAACGGACATTTGATCCTCGAATAATAATTTTGAGTCGTAAGCAATTATTAACTAAGACTAATTACCGACCCGTATGAGCTAACAAACACGTCCTGTAGAAAAATTATAATCATTTACTCAAAAATGATGGAAAGAAAAACTCTCCCTGGTCGAATGCTGGAAAAAAAGGCAGAAAAAAAGTGCTACTTCCACAATTATCAATTAATGAAAATCTGCTCTAATTAGAAAAAATTCCTACAATAATTATAAATAATTTTTAAATTGAACAACAGTGAGCCAGCGCTATTATTAAGCGCAGTGAGCCAGCGCTAGTAAGTTTTGATATTATTTAATAATTCAGTTTTATTATTCAATGAATGTAAGCAACATTCCTGCTATTTAGAAGCATGCAAATATCGAACAAATATTGAACCGCTTATGGAGGATACAAGTAGGGTAACATGGGGCAGCGAGCCCACTGCGGGTCACGGGCCCATAGCGGGTTTCTCGCTAAGTATGGCAGATATTGGCCCGTGTTCTCTACCGCCGGTCGACAGTTTCACTGGGATGAAGTGTAAGGATTTACGTTTTGCTAAGTGTTTGCGTTATCAAGCTATTTGTGAATAACTGTTTTAGTCCAGATAAAAATTTTTTTGGTGCTAAATAAAATTTTTTCCTATTACTTTAGTTGAAGCTTTTGAAATTACTGTGAATTATATTTTCAAAGTAATATTTATAGGGATAATTTTGAGATCAAGTTTAGACTATTAGCTTTTAAAATAAAATGTTGACACGATATAAATTGAAATGATATCTAGTGAGGCAACGGGCATACGCGTGTCACGGGGCAAAGCGCCCATGGTGAAATCTTGTGTTATACATCATTAGATTTGTCTCAATGACCTTTTCAAACTATGACTAGCTTTTTGAATTACAAAAATAGTGTTTCATTAAAAATTGAATAACTGTATAGGCGTCTAATTCACATCATACATTCCTCATTAGTTGTACCTTTAAACGAAACAAAGAACCACATCGTATCAATTGGAACTTCATCAAAAATTTAGTTTAAAAAAGGGGGGCAGGGGCGCTGCCCCATGTTGCCCTAACGTTTTTTGTTCGTTCTACTAAAATCTAAATTTTATTACATATGACTCCATTTCAAAATTATAATCTAAATAAGAAATGACTACATATTTAGTAGATAATTGCGGGAAAAGTGGCCGCTCTGTGATCGATTAGCAAAATATTCTGAATTTTTTTATGTACCAATTAATTCCTGATCTTTTCAAATGATTATACACAGCTGAACAAGATCTTCTAAATACACTACTTTTTACACACAATTGAAGTATTAGAAGTTCGGTTAAAAAAATCAACTATTGAGAAGAAATGGACATCGCCAGCTCAGGCATAAGTCCTAACTAAAGATTTTAGTTTTGATCTTAATAAATAGTTAGATTAGAATATAATTACTAAACATTATCTTGAATAACTTATTATTAAAATAAAAATCAGTACAGAAGGCGATGTATCGGCATGCGTTTTAAATTGGTTTGTTAATTGTACTGGAGAAAAACATTTATTGCTAAAACAGTCGCATAAAATAATTAAAGAAGACACTTTTGTACTGAATCAATATAATTATAAAAAAATGATGTAAAGAAACGAGTAAGAAGACACGAAAATGCACCCAGATTCCGTAGCATTTTTCTGATTTTAAATTCGTTGTTAATTAATCGGTCACATAAACATTTTAAATGCATAATTATGTGCATAAATGCATAAACGAGACCGCAAAATGCTGTGAATGTTCTGCGATGTTAAGAATCGGCGACAGGCCTACGGCCTAATAAACGCTGAAACCGCTACTATTTATTTATATTATTATTATTATGTCGATTGTCAATGATTCCTGATTTTTGAAACATCAATATTGCGGAAGACTGGCTGTACGTTATGTCCATGACTGACTGTACATTATGTCCAAGCCTCAGACCCTCACTCAAGACCCTCACAAGAGACCTCACACGAGACCCTCTCACGAGACCTTCACAAGAGGCCTCACACGAGACCCTCACACGAGACCCTCACATGAGACCTCACACGAGACCCTCACATGAGACTCTCACACGAGACCCTCACACCAGACCCTCACACCAGACCCTCACACCAGACCCTTACACGAGACCCTTACACGAGACCCTCACAAGAGACCCTCACACGAGACCCTTACACGAGACCCTTACACGAGACCCTCACACGAGACCCTCACAAGAGACTCTCACACGAGACCCTTACACGAGACCCTCACACGAGACCCTCACACGAGACCCTCACACGAGACCCTTACACGAGACCCTCGCAAGAGATCCTCACACGAGACCCTCACATGAGACCCTCACA